GCTGCCTTTGATGCAATTCCTAGTTTTACCAAGATATTAATCCTACTGCAGAGAGATAGCTTTTCTAAGTAAGAAAATAGTTTTTCATGGCAACCTAATATTTAAATTTCCAATTAGGACACAGCTTTTCTTGTGCATAATTTTTCATCCTTTCTATTGCTTCAAAGGGTGTATCATAAATCACCTAAAATTGTGGAGTTGATGCTTAGTCTTATTTTCTGACACAAAAATAACTGCCATTTTTTTTATTGTATTTTATTGTGACTCAAAAGTTCCAAACCCAGGGTTATAAGCAACCATTGCACACAGAAATTCTAAAGACCTGTATATGTCTTCAAATTTTTGGGCAGAAGCTTCCTGGAATATATGTAGCACTTCAACTTTTAAGACAAAGTTATTTATTACTTTAAAGTAATAAGCTTCAAGGATTAGACTATCTGCCTAGCAAGAAGGAGACCCTGAGTTCAAACCCCAGTGCTGCCCAAAAAAAAAAAAAGAAAGAAAAACAAATCACTATTAAAGTAATAAGCCCTGAGAAACACTACTGGGTCATAATAGGCCTACATTTTTGAATCAGAAAATCCATCAGGGCTGTATCTAATAAGAAAAATGGTGAATGCCAATAACAAATTTCACTGCTAGAGGAGAAATAGTGGGGATTTTGTATCGGTGAGGACATTCAGTTACAACTGAGAGAAACCTAAGACAATCTAGATTCAGAAGCAAGAGAAAGACAGACTTACTGGTTCACATACTCAAAGAGTCTAGGTGAAGTGTAGCTTCAGGCACACATGGAGACAGGCCCTCAGACACTAAAAGCACTAAGCAGTCCAGATATCTATTTTCCAGGAGTTGGCTTCTTGCCCTGACACATCTGGGTGTCCTGGAACCAACATGTTACACAACTCCCGGGGACCATTCACCGCGTATTCCTTGTGAAACGTGCAGCATGGTGGCCCTCACATATCCTCTTCTCTCTGGGACAGCAGGGCTGTTTCATTGCTCTGCTACAAAGGATTTGACATATTTATCTGGCACTATGTGTCTATTTCTATAATTTCCCATTATGTCCATAAATCTCAGGTATATTCATGCACATTATCTTCCTGGAGTCAGAGCTGATGAACGTGGCTGGATTCCTGCACACTTAGGATGCAAATACAACGCATACTGATGGATTGGCAGTGTCTGGCTAAGGTGTGTTTGAAAAGAATGTTATAAATAGGATTTCTCTGTCCGTAGGAGGACAGTGCAGAATAAAGGTGTAATGGTCTTTGCAAGCCATTACAAACCCTTGAAAGAATTACCAATCTTTTTGGAAACAGCATGCCATTGTGGTAATTAGTGTTTTTTTTTTCTCCTATAAAATTGCTCAATGACCTTTTTTCTCCTATAAAATTGCTCAGTGACCTTTTTAAATTTCCTATTTATAACTGCTTGCATGTTTTAATGATTCCCCACAAGGGTTTTTATTTTTTGAAATTTCAGTATTTGCTCTTCAAGGCTACTATTATGTCTTAGTCATTATCTTACCTCCAGTAAAATTATTAAATCTGATCAATACTGTTTTACTGCATAATGTCCACATGCATAGTGTCTTAGTAGATACTACCATGCTTGGTTTATTGGCTAAAATGGGGTCTTGCTAACATTTTGTCTTGAACTGCCATCCTCCCAATTGCCACCTCCCAAGTATCTGGGACTTGCCCTGTGTTGTACTTCAGAACAACCCCTACCAGGGCTGTCATATACAACCATGCACTTCTAGCTGGTGGTGCCCACTGCTCAACACCTATAAGCCAGACTGGTCTTTTTCATTTGCAGTGAACTGGACAGTAACTCTCCACAAGGACAAAGGCTCAGGTTGGCAGGGGCATGGAAAAGGAGTAAGGTAGTCAAGGCACAGTAGGGAAAATCTGGTCACACAAACCACATGTGCCTCATGCTTCCTCTGACCCATCTAGTAGGTGATGCTGGAAATGGTCAGCTTTGTGAGGAGGTGTATTAGTGAGCACCTGGTGTCCTGGTTGCCACAACCCAGGAAAAAAGCCAGGGAGAAGAGATCTTCCTGAGGGGTGTGACCTTGCTCCCAAACCCATGAGTCCACTGAGGCTCTCCTAGAGATTTGCCTCTGACTTTGGGAAATGCTGGACTCTGACAGGGTTGAGCAGCAAGGCTGCCTATAGGCACTGCCTGGGCCACCTATAGGCACTGATTTTAGTCTGCCAACTTTTAAGGCCAACATAGCTACCTGCTGAAAACTGTCTTGGAAGTCTTGGGCGGGCAGCACAGGTACTGGGCTTAGTTGTAGAAGGGATGAGGTGTAGCCATTTGTCCTTGACACTGAGGGGCTATCTTAGCATGCCCTAGACCCCTGGATCCCTGGGAATTTACTAAGGAATCAAGTCCTGCATTTCTATGAGATTCAGATTCCAGTCTTTGGCATACCCATCTCTTAGGAGGACATCTCGGGATCTGGTATTTCCTGCTCTGCATTAATATAGTGAACTATGTGACATCTCATGGTTTGGTGAGGCATTAAATGTCCTCATGTCACAAGTTTTGGGGCAGATTTGTAAAGTTATTTCTGTAACTGTCAGGTAAAATCAAGTAACTGCTGGAGGACTGTACAAACCAAAATGGATAAAAATGAAGTAGTCAGTCACATAACAAATGGCAGAGTGCTCCAATAAAGACTTCAGAACAGCGATTATAATTCTGGTCACCTCAAGATTAAGTTTTACTGTAGTACACTGACTTCTCCGAGATCCACCAATGTTTCCCACTGATAGCTGGAAGCCCACTGTACACTTGGACAATGTTAACGGGAATCACATTTTTGTCTTTATGCCCTTTGATGGTTGTAGTAACCTCTATAATTACCCAACTGCTTTCTCTCTTATTATTTTGTTAGAGAGGGGTATTAGCCCATTCTTTGTTACTACAACGAAAAACTTGACACTGGGCAACTTCACAAAGAAAAGAGGTTTATTTGGGCTACAGTCTTGTCTAAGATTGAGAGGTTGCATCGGGCGATGGCCTTCTGTTATAGAGTCCTGAGATGGCACAAAGCAACACAGGGCAACAGACAGGAAGCTTGTGTGTGATGTCTTCTGGTGTCTTTCCTTCTTATAGTCACCAGTATCCCGTCATGGCAGTTCTACCCTGAGGACTGTATTTTATCCAAATTGCCTCCCAAAGAACCACCTCAAAACATCATGTTCAGAATTAAGTTTTTATCCTTTTCATACCTCACAATGGGGATTAAATTTCAACACATGAATCCATGGGGGCACACTCGAACCATATCCAAACCACAGGAGAAGGTTCCACTGGCTTACCGTTGGCCCTTCTACTACAGAGCACCTATACCTCAAGGCAGAGAGCCAGTTTTCACATTCTGTAAATGTACATCCCATCTACACTTAGGAACTGAGTAAATAAACCATGAGATGGGGTGGGTCTTAGTACAGTGTTCCAGGAGCTCACAGTAAAATGGGGTCCAAACTCCATTTATCATTTAATCCCCACAATCCTCTATCCTGACCAGTTGGCTGTAGTATTCCCAATTACTGCCAAGTTAATGCTAACTAGGAGCAAGTACTCATGGATCCCTGAAAACTTTACTGTTTCTCTTTCTGAGTCCATGTCACTTGAGAGAGTAGCAGGGTAGAAGGTGAAAGTGTTCCTATTTATTAGGATAGCACAGTTCTGGAGTCAACGGCTAAGAACTTCTCATTATTCACAAGTTTCCTTTGCCAATCTATTTCTGGTGGCATTAGATAGCAATGCCTTTGACCCTGACAGAGGAGTTAGTGAAGTGGTAGATGAACAGAGCATGTGAACTCTCATGCAGTCTCTAGCACAGACTGCCTTTTGGACCTGTGATACATCAGTCAATCAAAGTGCAGACAGTTGCCCAAAACAGCACAGTGAACCCAGTATCTCCTGAGGATACAGAATTCAACCTTATTCAGCTGAGTAAGGGATACTCCAGGGTATCCCTGAGTAAGGCTATCCCTTATTAACTGAGGAAAAGTTTCAGAACTTGTTTTTATGTGTGGATTTCTTTAGCTCAGAAGTTCACAACCTTGGCTGCAAATAGAACCACATAGTGGCTAGTCAAAATTTATCCTTTCCTGGATTCCTCCTCAGGCATGTTGGTTTGATTTCCTGGGCCTTTATATACTTTAAAGGAAAAAAATCCCAGGTGACTCTAAGGACCATTGTTCTAGTTCCTGCCTCTTCTCAGTAACAACAGTCAGGACCCTACTCTATCCCCTAATTTTCACATAAGAAACTTGAGGAGGTTGGCTAAGTCATAGAATTCCCCTTAAAACCACATACCTGTGGATACCAAGCATCCACTGTAATTCTAGCGTTTTGTTCATCACTGTTCAATTGTTCTGTTCTGACTGCTAACCAGTCTCCAAGGGCCTTATTTCAGGTGCGTCAAGGATCCTGTTGACTAAATAACTCGAAGAGCTGTTTGTCTCTTAAGCTGCTCACTTTTCATCCGAATACAGAGGGATATGGCCTTGCCTTTCATTCTATTACAACACAACAATGAATTCAAGATCTCACATTTGCCTAAAAACCCATTCTCTGGTACCAATCTGGATATTAGTTTTTTGTTGTTGTTTGTAAGCAACAGCAAAAACAAACTGCTAAAGAACCAAAACCCAGGAAATAGAGAATCTCTGAGGACCCTCCCCTTAGAGAGCTACAAAAAAAACTACCAAGGCCTCATGCCTCTTAGCCTTTGTGTCTCTCCACTCAAGTTTCAGATTCCCAGGTGACACTTGTATGGCTTGGGTTAGGTCTCCTCCTGTGGATAAACTATGGCAGTGAGGTGTGATCATGAAGTTAAAACAGCATCACTGGGGCCGATTTCAGGAAATGGGGAGCTCTAAATCAGACAGCCAACCTAACCATGTTTGAGAGCTTTTATTTTACTGTTGATGACAAAGTTAGGGGCAAAAAGGCACAAAAGACATTGCTTGGTCAAACAATTTTAATCAAGTCAATGGTAAGCAGTGAAAGTGCAATTACACAAAAAGCCTGTATTTTACATGTTGAAGGTGGTCTTCACTGTCTTTATTTGTAAGGTGTTGAAGGTGGAACCCATTCCTGAATCTTCTTTCTTGTGGTGGAGTAAGGTACATACTGTTCTGGAGTGCCAGTCATGTTGAATTTATGGTTTGTCCAAATGAATTTACGAGCAGTAGGTGGTTTTGTTGTTGGAGGGTCATCAGTCATGCAGTGAAGCCAGCGATGCCTTAAAGAAGGGAAAAACCCAGTTATGAAGGGGCAGAACAGACAGGAGAGGGCTAACAGCAGCTCTAAGGCCACTTTGTTGCTTGGGTTCAAATCTCAACTCTACCACTCCCAGAACTTTTCTTCTTTATTTTTTGCCCTGAAATTTTCTATGCTTTAGTTTATTTCAACTGAACATTTCTATTTTCTAGAGATGGAATAAAGATCAAATGAGATAATATGCATAATAAAGCACCTCGAAAAATTATTGCATATTAGGTACTCAACAGATGTTAGCCACTCCTACTAACATTACATTCCATTGCATCTCAGCACTACCATTTTCAGATACATCGTAATTTTATGTACCTCACAGAAAGAAAATCTGCTGAAATTAAATTACTGCACACTACTGATTGTTATAGGGATCCTAGCGGTAGATGTGAGATGTATTTTAGAGTTGATTAAATACAGCATTAGTCTTAGATGGTAGGGCTGAGTCTGCATATTTAATATGCAGGGATTACTCTGCTCATAATGTTCCAGTCTGAAACCTAGGAAGGGTCCTGCCAGAGAGGGTCCCTGTGTACATCTTCAACTCAAGTTTAAGTCCAAACACCACAGAATACACAATTTGTTATACTAAACATATTAAATAAAATTGGGCATGGTGGCTCATACCTATAAAATCCTGGCACTTGAGAGGCGGAGGCAGGAGGATCATGAATTTGAGGCCAGCCTGGGCTATACGGTGTGATCCTGTCTCAAAAACATACAAACAAATAAACAAACAAACTCACAGCCTCAAATTTGCACGTATTTTTGTTTTACGTGCTTAACAACTTAATTTCAAAGGATATTTGATGGGAGGTGTCAGAAATCTGATCTAAAAGTTGGGTACATGGAGTAGAAAAGGAAGAAATGAATGATGACAGAGAAATCGAAGTTTGAGGGACAAAGAATAAAGCAGGAATATAATAGCAGGACAAAGAATAAAGCAGGAAGCCAACCTGAGACATTTATATAGAACGGAAGGAGAGAAACATTTCATATCAAATCCACCAAGACCCTGGAGCTCACAGGCAGAGATGACCCTAAAGGAAAAGGGAATGACCAAATAGTCATAGAACTGACTCTCCAAGGAAAACAAGTGATTACCCAGTTGCAGAGAAAAGGAAAAGAGGAAGAGGTTTCACTGGAATAAGTAAAAGTAAAAGCTAACAAGAAAAAATGATGATGCCATATAGGCCTAAGAAGGTTTGTTAGCAGTAACTGAGACGCACCTAGGCAAAAGGCTAAAACCAGTAAAAAACAGAGATCAGATTACAGTTGCTTTTTGAGTCTGAAGGTAACTGTATCACAATCAGCCAACACAGTAAAGAATGGAGAAGCCTGTACAAGCTGGGTTGGTGTCTGCCTCACATTCTTCGAGAACATATGGGATTACTCAAAGTGACCTGGACTCAAAGAAGCCAGGACTATTGACAGAGTGGTGAACCTTGTGAGTTGCTGGTGAGATGGGCTCTAGTAACCACTAAAAGTAGGGATTTGCTGTCAAAGGCAAGGCTGCCACTTATTCTATAAGTAAACTAGGAATCTCTCTGTATAGCTATCCTTATCTCAACTAGTAAAAACGCTTTGTCTTTCTTATTGTTTATGTCTTCTCTTCAACAAAACTGGAGAAAAGGGCATAAATGAGGGGGGTGGGGGAAGAGGGAGGGAGTGAGGGGCAGAGGAGAGAAATGGCCCCAACAATGTATACACATATGAATAAAAAATAAATAAATAAAAGCAGCAAGAAAATTGGAGAAAAAAAAAAGTTATGTGAGCTTCATGCCCAGCAGAAATGTTTGCCTTGTTGAGTAAGCTTAATTAAAGAAAACTTTTACTCAAGTAATTCCTGTAAACTCTTGAAGGTAAAAAATATTTAGGAAACACAGTTCAAAGCTTATTTCTGCCTATTTGGTTACTTAAGTGAGGAACAGAAGAGCTCATGAGAAATAGAAACTGATCATGTTTATCACAAGTCATAAAATCTAAAAATGTTTATCCTAGCATGAGTACAGGGAAGAGTCAGGGGATGAGCAAATGATAATCGCTATTCTTCATGGCAGTTTATAATGAAATATCAGAACCAAGAAAATGTTGATAGTCTGAAAGGCTAACATAACCCTTCTGTTTTGCTATTAAATAAAGAACAAAGAAGCCATACTTTTTAGATTTCTACACTAAAGAACTTTATTTGCAAAACAGATTTTCAGCTATGACATGTTTATTCCAACTAATTAAAGGTACCAATGTGCTAAAAGCATTGTCTAGAAAACTATTGTCGTTGGCATTAGACCTAGTTCAATTTTGTATCAATTGCTACTATTTTAAAGAACAAAATGTAAAATTACCTAAACTAAATAAAGTCAGTGAGACTGCAAATGAGGAGACTGGTAGAAAGGGGAAATGTTATAAATACAAAATAGAAGAGTATTTATAATGAAAATATATAACATTTTGGGAAATTTCAGACTCAAATATATTGAAGTTGTGTCAAAATAATTGGAAACAAAGTTATTAAATCATAATTACTGTAATCCTGCCTACTGAATCTATCTAATCCAGGATGAGCTAGATAAATTTAATAAACTAAAAAACCAAACACAGTTCATTACAAGATGTCCAACTCAAATCTTGTTAGCATAGTAACTATTATTCAATTAATTATAATCTGAATCAAAATTCCAATGGGATTCTTCAGAGTTTGACACTGTAATTCTAAAGATCAGCTGAAAGTTTATCCAAGAAAAATTTGAAAACCTGTCAGTCAGGAAGGTTGGCACTACTAGGCAGTAAATGAAAGTCTCCAACATTAGCTGGGGTAAAACTGATACAAAAGTAGAATAATAAGGAAGAATAAAAGCTCCCAAATAGACTAAAGTGTACATAAGGTAAGGCTGGCATTTCAAATATTTGGGGAAAGCAAAAACTCCTCAACAAATTATTGCTAAGATGATATTGTTGTTAAAAAAAAAAATCAAGCTAGATTTCCAGAGTCATACATAAAACAGATTCCAGATAAATTAAAAGTGCTTATGCATGAGTATTTATCTTCATAAAACATGCTGATAGTCACAGAATACAAATGACCACTTCTAAACTTAATACCAAAGATAAAAGTCCATAGCCAGGCGCTAGTCGCTCACACCTGTAATCCTAGCTACTCAGGAGGCAAAGATCAGGAGGATCATGGCTCAAAGCCAATCGGGCAAATAGTCTGGAGACCTTATCTCAAAAAACCTTTCACAAAAAAGGGCTGGTGTGGTGGCTTAAGGTGTAGATCCTAAGTTCAAGTCCCAGTACCACAAAAAAAAAAAAAAAAAGGTAAAAATCCATAATGAAAATAAAGCTTATAGGTTTTACTGTGAAATTTGAAATATTTATGTCCTAAAACACTACACGCAAGATGAAAGACTAAAAGAAACAGAAATTTTGTAATACATGGAAAACATTCATCTACCATTGTAAGTCAGAAAGAAAATATCAAACATTCAATAGAAAATTAGACAAAAGATACTGCAATAGAAGTCATAAAAGAAAAAAATTTAAATAGTAAACAAAAACAGTCTGAGAAAATAGAAAACAAGACAGGGGTTGGGGAGTAGCGCAGTGGTGGAGCATGTGTTTAGCACGTGTGAGGTTCTGGGTTCAATAACCAGCACCAAAAATAATAAATAAACTTCTCTTATCAAAATGGCTGGCAAAGTTTTTGCTTTTATTTTTGTTTTTTAAAATAATATACTCAATATTGGTAAAGTTATAGAGAAATCAACATTCATTTAAACTGTTGAATGTGAGAATATAAACTGGTACGGGCTTTCCAGAGGGCAATTTGGCAGTAGGTATAAAAAGTATTAAAAAAGTACACAGTAAGTAACAATTTTATTTGCAGGAATTTACCTGAAGGAAATAAGGACACAAGAATAAATGCCTATGTACAAGAGGGCTGCTGATCACAGCTTCATTTATAGCAAAATGGAGAGAACAAAACCAAGAACCACAGGAAAAACTTAACAACTCATGGCACATCAGTAAGTAAGAACACTATAAATTATAGTATAATTATAGTATTACTATAAATTATAGAGAATATTCTATGACTTGAGAAACATGTTCACCATATTTTATGTTTTAAACTCAAGACTTTTTAAATGGAAAAATGATACCTATTGAAACTATTCCAGGAATGGAGGAGAGAGGATAAAGGAGAATGAAGGAGGAGGTGAATTCAAGAACTTTTGGGGCTGGTGGATTGGCTCAAGTGTCTGCCTAGCAAGTGTGAGGCCCTGAGTTCAAACACCAGTACCACCAAAAAAAAAAGAACTTTTGTAAATGCCACAGTGTACCTCCACCCAACACAACAATAAAAAAAAAAAATCAGAGCTCACAAAGGCTGTACAAGTTTTGTGATGATAGCAACCCCTTCTGTCTACCTCCTTTCTGAATCCCCAGCACGTAGAAGAGTTTCTGGTTCACTAGGACCTCAATAAATATTTTAAATTAATTAAAAAAGTAAAATACTATAAATTAAAAAAAGCAAGGCTTTTTTTTTTTTTTCAATACTAGGAAATTAAACTCAGGGCCTAGAGCTCTACCACTTGGGCTACACCCCTACTCCCTTTTGCTTTTAGTTTATTTTTCAGATAGGGTCTTGGGCTATCTGTGCCCAGGCTGGCCTCGATCTGTGATCCTCTACCTCTGCTTCCCAAGCACCTGGCCTGAGGATATGGCAAGTGGTAGAGTACTTGCCTAGTAAGTGCAAGGTCCTGAGTTCAAACCCCAGTACTGATAAAAAATACTAAACCAAGTAGCTGGAATTATAGGAGTACACCAACACATCCAACTTGTTTTTGTAATAGGGTCTTGCTAACTTTTGCCCAGGCTGGCCTCCCGAGTAACTAGGATTATAAGCATGCACCACCACCAGGCCACTTAATTTTTTTAAAATGATACTTAAATAACACTGTAAGTCAT